TAATGACATCTGAAATGAAGGAGGAGATTAAAGGGAATACTTCGTTAAATTCTGGTTAGAACTGGATCTAACATACAACACACAAGGCTTAGATGAAGACAATAGTTCTGCCACCTCTGAATGTTCAACTGCATCAAAGCAGTCTGAACTCAGTTCAGATTCTATGGCTACCTCAGATGGTGCCTCACCTTCCAGAGATAAACCAATCATAGTTAGAGGAGTGCTAATGATCTTATTTTTAATACAATCAATCCTATTTATAAAGATTCCATAAAATCATCACTGCTAAGCAGTGGCGGCCGACCCATAGGGGGCGCTGGGGCACCGTCCTCCCTGATAAGAAGAGAGAAACGTAAAATATGTTTTTAGAAATTAACTCATAGTTGTCAGTTTTACTCTCTAGAGTTTGTGCCTATAAGCAAAACAAATTATATAAACTACATTTCCCTACCTACTGTCATTCATTTGTGGATTTCCACAGACAGACTCCTACCACCTCTGTCTTGGGGCTGTGATCAGACTGCCCCGCATGTGCAGAGAATCTGCCAATCATGTACTATTGCTAGGTGAATTTAATAATTTAATGGCCAATCAGCGTCTCTGAATTTTATGGTCTTGGGGCGCTGAAAATACTGCTGTTTAACAGGCTTCTGCACAATTAGAGGGACGATGGCGAACGTAACGAGCGAGGTGCAGCTTCCACCAAATTCGGTGAGATCCTTATTTATCTGCCCATTTGCCAGAAGAACAATGGAGGAGAAAATCCTGATTCAAGAGTTGGGACCAGACAAGCCTGACCTTATCATCAACCAGCAGACTAAGGAAAAAAAATAAAGTCTACAATAGGAGTTTTTGCAGGAGTTGGTTCGAGCGTAAAAAAGTAAACCTAAATAGAATAGAAAATCCCTTTATTGTCCCACAATGAGGAAAATTCTAGTGTTACAGCAAAAGAAAGATAACAAAAGTGGTAACACAACCTTAGACAAGTATATAAAAATAACATAATCATAGAGAGTTAAAAAAAAACTAAATAAACAAATAACATTCTGTACTGTAAATTATTTTTACAATATAAATACTTTGCACCAGAAGAATAAATAACCAATATACAACCGTGGACCTGCACATGAACCTATGTTTTTATAATATATTTTTTTTTTGGAATTCATTTTAATATACTGACGTGATAACTTAGTATATGTTTGATTGGTTGTTGTCATACGTCTATTTTGAATTTATAGCCCCCCCTGAAGAAAACTCCACCAGCCACTGCTGCTAAGAACAGGTGGGATCGATGATTCAACAGAGCTATGGCTCTGGGGGAGTTTGCAACTGTATTAAAAATATATATACAATTATTCTTATTCTCCTCTATTAATGAGGAGAAATATGCTGCACTTGCTGTACCAAGGGTCCTGTTATGCAGCAGCAAACAATTTTTTTTCCAGACTATGTAGGATTCCCCTAGGACTGTGACCATGATATTCTCTCCAGTTTCCTAGCATTTTGCTTCAGAGTGCACAGCTCTGCATTAAACCAAGGAGCCAGCTTTCTGTTTTTAAAGTATTTCTTTTTCAAATGGCTGTCTAAGGCAGTATGCAGAGAACTAGCAACCCCATCAACAAACTCATCAACCTGTGAAGGGGAATAAACTAAACTTTTGCCCTCTGCAGCACTGCTCAGTGACACAGAGGAAGTGAAACAGATTCTTTAAAATGTATAACTGGACTGTCTCATAGTGATTTGCTAAAGTGAAACTTTATTTTGGGGGAGGAGAACTCTGATAAAGTAATCCTGAAGGTTATTAAAGAGTGGTCACAGAGGACAGGGGTGTGAGGAAATACTATATTTCTTCACATTCTACGCCATATGTAAAGTATAAAGACGAGAACGTGTGAGACTGTTCACGTTTTGAACAAAGCCAATAGCATCTATGATATCTGAAGTAATTCATGGTTTGTTAATGGACTATGAGGGAGTAGGCTATCTGGGGCATCACTGCCACCAACCAATAACGAGTGAGGATCAAGCATGCTCAAAGAATAAAGAGAAAGGGGGAAAACATGAAACTTACATTTTCTTAATTTAGCCAGTTACCAACCAGTAGCAAATTATTTTTATATCTCAAATCAAAAGTACCTTTTCCTATAATGTACTGTTTTTTAACCCTCTTTATGAATCAGTTATGTTCTTTTTCTCTGGTATTTTCTACAGATTAACATTACATACTCCACTGTTTTACTTTCCACAGATTCCACTGGTTTATCTCCCTGTTTCATGTTTTCTCATTATATGTCATGTTGAATGAAGTACCATGTGATATTACCGTAATGAATTTAATAACCTTTTTTCTATTCTGTTACACCCAAAATTTCTTCTAATTTATCCAACTTTTTTATGTATTCTTCGAAGTCTTGTTTTTTGAAACCGTTTTGATGTGTATCTTTAATTTTCCTTTTAATTTGCTTCTAACCTCTAACTTATTAAATGTGACTTTTATAGAATTTACACCCTGGCTTGTTGAGTCTTAGGCCCTTTTCGATTTGATGTGTCTTTACTTGTCTGACACTGGATCTAGGGAAGCCTCTTAATGACTACACTTTGATGTTTAAAAATCTTCTGAAGAGGATGCTCACTGTTGTCCATAATCGTCTTCACTTAATGACAAATTATTTTTTATGAAATAATCTCCAGCAGTCTCTAGGTAAGTTCCTAGAACAGAGATGACCTTTTTATCAACTTGTTTAGCTTTTTTAGGTAATTTCCTCTAATGCTTATACACCAGCAGATGATGAAGGAAGAGATCACACAATATACAAGATATGTAGCATCTTGTTGCAAACACTGAATGACCTAAGCTTCCTTAGGAAGTTCAGCCTGCGCTGTCTTTTGATGTAGACGGCTTTACAGTTGCGTCTCCTGTCAAGTTTGTTGTCCAGGTGAACATCAAGGGATTTATACTCCTCAGCCACCTCCACTTCATCTCCCTTCATTTTAATTGGATTCAACTTGTTCCTGTTTCTAATTAAATCTGGTCATCTCCCTTGTTTTGTTGACATTCAGGATTAGCTGATTGTTTCCACACCATGCTAAAAAGCAATATACCAGCTCTTTGTACTCAGCTTTTTGCCCATCTTTGGGCACCCAATGACCCAAATGACTATCTGTTACTAGAAAAACACAGGTGCACAGAGTCATTTAAAAGGAATGGAGAGAGTTGTGGTGTCCCTGTGTTGCTAAGTACCTGATTAGACGACGGTTCAGTTCAGTTTTGTGTGCCATTTGCACTCAACAGTTATCTCAGATAGCGTGCTCGGACGGATCTCGGAAAGGTTTCAAAAGGGTAGTGTAAATGGGGCTAATGTCTCTCTAGGACAGCGGTCGCCAACCCGAGGCTTTATTATGTTTTCTAATGCTGTAAAAACTTGTATTAGAAATACATTTAAAAAATAAAGATAAAGATTTCTTCCAACAAAAGTTATGCAGGTTAAACTATGCGAGTTACACAACTGGCAAATCCATGCTTGTTCAAAGGTTAGCAAAATATTTAAATTCAATGCTAGAAACAATATTCAGAAAAATATAATGGATCCTTCCTTCTGATAACTGGAACTCCTTGTCTTGTTTTGGACCTAGAGGTCCAAAACAGTCAGTAACACATCTTAACATTAATGTGTTTTGATAACGTGTGTCTTAAATAAATCAATAATCAGTAGGTGGTTTCTGGAG